TGACAGGGATATATTCTAGAAATACACTTTACGACGACTGTAGGGCTTTCACAGGGTAGAAAAAAAAGAGAGGCGTAAGGTAAGAATGGCAAGGGCGTAAGCTCTTTCGTAAAAAACGTTTATCCTTCAAGGACGTGAAAATTTCGTCGTCTAGAAAACAGATCTTCCTCCTCCCTTGGTGGCGAGACGGACGGGCATTTGAGGGGGAGAGTACGTTGGGGGAGAGTTGGCTCGTCCATGGCTATGCGAAGAGACGGATCGGGACAGAATGCTCTCTGTAGATGGGTCAGGAGATGTATTATAATCTCGACTTGAGCTACTCACCATTCCTGGCAAAGCCATAGCCGGCAGCGCCCTCGTGTTCAGGGTGGTCTTTCTCGTTAAAGACGGAACCTGGGCCAGAACCATAGTTGGAGAAATGGCGTGGTGAGCTCCTGCCATTCTCCATCATCTTGGGCGAGTTGTTGGCGGGGTTACCCTTCCAGAACGCATACGAGCGGAAGAACCTGGGTCTATCAACATACATCTGCAAACTATTAGCTTTCATCGAGAGAATGACGTTTGATTCCTCACTGTGCAAATGTTGAGAATGCCAAAGATAAAGAGGAAAAAGCAGGCGACGAGCGGGAAAGGATCCAAAAAGTGGCTCATGACTTGGGCGGCGAGCAGCACCTCGAGCACACCGAGGCCGACCAGAGAATGTTCGTTATCGAGGCAGGGGATCCAATTCTTGAAAAACCAGGCGGGGAATCCAGTTTCAGACATGAAGAGGACGACGCATTGTAAGAGATTGAGAGCGATGCTCAGGAATGCTCTAAAGTTTCCAGCTGGCTGGTTTGGGACGCTCGATCCCCTGTGGGTTCCACCGTCAGCACAGGCGCCACAAAGACGAGGCCAGATGAAAAATCGAGCAAAAATATGCAACACTCACTCGATGTATTCGCAGTCTTCGTGCTCCTTATCGTGGTGGGCCTCGCGGATGGCTTCGACGTCTTGGGCCAGGATGATAATGTTGGCAATAAAGACGAAGAGGAGCGAGAGCATGGAAAAGAAACGCAGAGCGTTGAGGAGGAAGAACTTGGGCTTGGAGGGGATAGACAGCATGGCCAGCAAGGTGTACGCGTTGGATTACTCGTGAAAAGGGTTGCAAAAAACGTTGGAAAATTAAGGATGAAAGGATGTTGTTCGTAGGGCTTTGCCTCGTTATAAAAAGTGGGTCTAAAAGAAAGAAAGGGCGTGAAAAGAAAAGAGTCGTTGGTCGTAAAAGTGTGAAAAGATAAACTGGGAGCTTCGGCTGAAGGAGAGGAGGAAAGAGCGCACGATCGCGGCTTATAAGGTCACCTGTGGACCCCCATTCAGTCCGCAGGGCACGGCCTGTGCCACATGGCACCGTAAACTCCATTGATTTTCCTTATTAGGCAAGCACAGCTGCACCACCTGCCATCTATATCTAACCCACTCGTACCACTATTCTACATCTGAGCAATCGATCACCATGCCCATCTCGATGCTTCTTGGATCCCGGTGATCACGCCGCCACCCGGTCACTCCGTCAAGCCACTTCCTCCGTTCATTTCGTGAAAACTGAGAAAAATCACATCAGAAAATGATACATGAAACACGGGTAGTAACACTCACTGCTTACTACGTCCTCGTCTGCCACCTATCAAAGCGAGCCCTTGTCGTCAGCAACAACGCCCATTGTTCTATCCGACAGCAGCGGCGGCGGCGCGGGTCAATGTAGTACTCACAACATGATTCAGTCCGACCTTTTGTGCGTGTGGACAGAATTTAGACGATTTGCCCTGTCAATGCATTCAGTCAAGAGCACGGCCGAGAATCGCTATTATTCACCCTACAACCACGGTCAGCCATTTGTTTCACCGACGTTTCCAAGAATATCATGCGTACCAAACGAGTGCATATTTAAAGTTCGGAACAAGAGACCGGTGTATCCCGAGGCAAACGTCCTTGACCACAGGTTGAATAAGGGTTTTTGGTTTAGGCACTGCATACCTCTATGGTGGCGCCCTTTCGCATACAGATTGGATCCTTTAGGTCGGGATGGTGACCTCGTTTCTTTGTGTAGACCTTGACAAGGCCAATCTCCTTTACGATGGGCGGTGTTGGTGACCCTGGTGAGCCCAAGAACTAACGACTTACATCCCATATCCTCTCCACTAGCACATCAAGGCTGTCCAAGGCTGTTAGTGGATGACTAGGGATGGGCGTTTGTCACTCACTTGAGTCCCATTTCACAACTAATGACCATCGAGTGATCCTCGCGTGCATACTTGTCCATCTGTTCCAAACTGATCGCGTCAATCTTGTTGAATACGTACAGACAAGGGACATATTTCCTCGTCCCTATCAGAACGTCGATCAACTCGTCCACCGTAATCTAGCAAGGGGTTAACAGGAATCTGAAAGGGAATATGTTCGTACATCTTCTCGTATCATTACCTACGAATAATTAGTAATAATATTACGGAATACCCTCGCTTACATCGCAATTGTGAATCTTGTAGCCCGCCAAAATGGTCTTGATCGTCTTTTCGTCAAGCTTGGTCAATTTGACGGTAGCATTGAGCTTGAAGCACGTTAGAATTGTCACTTAGAATGATATGGAACGTACAGTGATCTGTAAACAGTCGGCCAAGTTCACCAGACGCCGAAAATAACTCACCCCACCCGCCGCTTTCTGCTTAAACACCACTACGAAATCCATTCAATAAAGATTTTTCTTGAATTAAGAAACTTCACTCACCGTCCGGCTTCGACTTGTTCAATCGGATTCCAACCGCGTCCAGTTCGATCTCGAGCAGCCGTCTTTGTTCAGTCGACTTTGTGGCGTCGAGCATCATGATGATCAGGTCGGCCGTTTTTGCGGTGGATACGACTTGACGGCCTCGGCCTCGACCGCCACTCGCACCTTCGACGATTCCGGGGAGATCCAGTCTGTGCGGGTGTCAGTCTAGGCTAGGTGTAAGCGTGGACCTACAGCTGTATGCGAGCGCCTGTATTCGAGAAGGTTAAATCGGTTTAATGAATGGGATGTATGATGTACCTTTGTATTCGATAACTCCGGGAATTGCCTGGTGGACTTGAGCATACGTTTGATGTATCGTTCGGGCGTACCGTCAATGTAGTAAATTCATAAGCAGCTGCTTCAGAAGCCGTGTTGGTCATCTTTGATAGCACTGTATCTTGTCAGGAATGATATCGTAATTAGAGGTAACTCACAGGTCGATTTGCCAACAGAAGGAAAGCCGATTAGGCACACCCTTGCATCTATTAACATTTTTAGTAATCAAGAAAGTAAGATAATAGGATGATGCGTTTACCTCCAGCCTTTTGCACATCGAATCCAGTCCCGCCACCACTCGATTTCGATGTCGGCTCCAGTAGCTGGGCTCTGTATTTAGCCAACTTGGCTTTCAAGAGACCCAAATGATACTCGGTCGCCTAGTATACATATCATAAGTCCTTGTTTGTTGATCGTTCAAGTGACAAATCCTCGCCTTGTTCTTCTGAGCTGCATGAATATCAGAACGGGTAGATTATAGTGTTAAAGGTTATCTTACTCCTGGCCATTTCCTCTACGAGTATCATGTATTCTATCAGAGACCATTCATACCAGAGCCACAATGGCCATACCCTCGATCGCTTTTATCTGTCCAAGCGTCATTTAGATATGCATTCGACTTTATGGATGTTAGGAGTATAGACCTTCTCTAAGATACCCATGTTGACTGATAATAATACAAGTTGATTATATGTGTGACAGTGAGGTGATCCAAGAGTATTACGTCTGAAGAAAATCCCACCTGGATCCGTGTAGAATTGGCCAAGTTTGCAGTCTAATTATCTCATGATCTCGGTTTTATTTTAGTAAGTGTCTATTAGTCTAGTGTATTATCTTTATCTGCCTCCTCTTCTCTCCGACATCGATTGCATTTACAAGTAAAGGACCACCCCGTCTATATAGGTAGATAATAAGCATTTATTGGCGACAGAAGCATGAAAAAATACTCACTAATAACTTTTGCTGTCTCTCCCTGTAGCTCAAAGTATCCCCAGCGACACCCAGGTAGCTCACGTTCAGCTCCGCTTCAGGAGCAATCTCTCCTTTCGCCCTAAATTCGTACACTCTTCCTATCTGATCTTTGGAGACGTTTGGTTCGCAAGAATGATTAAAGTAGCTGGCGATGGGATACAGACAGTACGCAAAGAGCTCATGCCCCGCAAGTGTCTGATCCCATATTCCAAACGTATTACCCTCGTCCCGAGTGATCAGTGCGATGATGTTGGATGGTGTCGTCAAAGGTAGGATGGGCGAGGCCAAGGGTAAGACGGAGAGAAGGTAATGGTAGATGGCGACGTGGGCCCGTAGCGTGTTTCTCGAGCTCGTGTACGGCTTCATGCTGGGATTCAGTCGTAAGACTTGTCTTAATGATTCTTGTGACTTGCTGAAGGAGATCAGACCCGAAAGGATGAATCGGGCATCGTCCAGGTCAACTTCGGGTGGCATCCGGCTGGTCTTCAATACTGAATGCGGCTTTGTCTGTCTCGTCGTAAGGACCTTCTTTCCCTCTTTTAATGCCCTTTCCCATGTGTCCTCAATCTCGGTCAAGCTACAAGGAGAGTTTTCAGAACGGGGTGTGTCTCCTCCGGTCGCTTTGAGTCCTTGCTCAAAAGCAACAATTGCTTCCCAGCCACCGTCTCCAATCGATTCTCTCCAAGCATCACGGCAAGATGGTTGACAGAACCAGGCCACTCCCCGTCCATTAGGCGTTTGCAGTTTGAATTTGTGTATTGCTCCAAATCCATAGGCATAACACCAGGAACAAACTTCCTTTCTGAAAACCGAAACAATGACACTCGCTACCGGTTCATGGGTTTGGAGGATGATCTCGTCATTGGGAAGACTCTTCGTTGCAAAGCATGTCAAGCCTGCCCCTTCTGCAGGTGATTTCTCGATCGTAAATGTATCTGTACTTTTGGATTCAGGATCTTGGATTAAACGAGCGACATCTTCCAATAGACCCATGGAACCGAGCCGAGAGAAGGGAGGGACGACTAGACAGCATCCTTGACCCCTGCCACCATCGACGGCAAGACATGTACTTTGCTACAGGCTCAGCAAGGCTTCTCTCCTTAGCAAATGTCAGCGGTTCCGAGGATGAAGACAAAACAGTTATAGGCATCAACGCGAACAGTCGTAAAAATCTCTTCTTTGTCCTCACAAAGAGTAACATATCTATATGGAAAGTTCGGGTACGATTCTACTGCCATGTCGAAAGGCAAATCTAACTGATCCTTAAGTCGTAATTGTTCTAGCCTCCTGTCCTATTGGCTTCAGTACAACGAACGAAGATCTCGGTGGACGAACATGGCGCCAATGTAGCCGCCTTCTGGTCTCCTGAAGGCTCCAAGATCGCGATACATGTAAGAAAGTGTACAATTGCTTTGCTTGGTCTCATTTAGGGCGCTTATAGACCACTGCATCGTTCGTCGTCTTGGTCAATATCTATCAAACTCCCGACTACCGTCCGTTGTCAAGATTATCCGTTGCTAGTATTATCCGAACGACATTCCTACCCGGGCCCGGAGAGGGTTTACCTCTCGAGGGATTGTATCTACAACTTCGTGGCGTCATCAAGATAGATGGAGAATTGCTCTGGTAGGTGAAATGGACAACCAATCTTGAACCTGTCTTACAAATATCCTAGCCTCTCTCCTCGTATCACACATCTTCTCTTTGCCACTCGAAACCCTGCCGCTGTTCAACAGCTACCCTGGCCTCAAGATGACGAGGAGGAGGAGGATGCTGGTTGGCTTGGGCACGAAACCTGGTCATTGAATGAACAACAATTTCCGTGGCTTGATGGCTCTGCTGAAGGTAAGTCCGGAATCAGTTGCTTCTCAGGTTCTCATCACCATCAGGTCACGTCACTCTCTCCAAAATTCGTCATACCAAGACATCAGCAGCCGAGGGATGGATAACAAACGATGGAAAGGCGTACTTTACGCATCTTACAAAACAAGAAAGGGATCCAAATCAACTTCCAGAGCAAGAGGTACAGTCGCCGGCTAGCCACAAGACCACAGGAGAAGACGAATCGGTCTGGTTGGGTACTCGTTTATATCCTGATTCCTCTAGCTTGGGTCTCGATCTCGGAAATAATCCATCAAAAGGAGCGGTTGATATTGCATTAAATTCAAGATTTTCCATCGTGGCTGTGGGGTTAGAAGACGGCGAACTTGTATATATACCGTTTCCATCTCAAGAAGGGACTCTCGCCCCACCAAAATTCCTCAAGATTCCCGATCTTTCTCTTTACGGATCCTGTGGCCGCGTAACTAGTCTAGAATGGACGAGTGATGGCTATGCCCTGGCAGTTGGATGGCAGAATGGATGGGGCATTGTCAGCGTAGGCGGCAGATTTTTGGCATGGAATATAGGTGCAAGCATATCACATCCAGAGTACTTAATTCAGGATCCTATTGTTTTAGAGTTGACACAATGGCCAGGTTACAGGACACCTTTATGTACGGAGTATCAAATTTGGTGAGCTCGCACTTCATCTAGGGGATTTGGTACTAATTAAACCTTAGTTTTGGGGCCCCGGGAATTATGACCTCTTTGTATCCTCAAATCCAACATCAGAAGCCCCGTCTTCGGTGGCAATTATTTCATTCGCAAAGAGTAGTTTTGCCGCTCAACAAACTCCGGTATGAAAATCCAATCTGACCACAGAGTATTATCTAAAGAAGAATCCAGGACAATACCCGTTATGCTTTCCTTATGATGGATGATAGGGTTTTGGTGTACCGAGGAGCGGATCAACCCGACATGTCAGTCATCAATCCAGAATCGGACGTTTGGCAAAATATCAAAATTCCAATCGATTATATTGCCAACAACTGGCCTTTACGATGCTCTACAATTAGCAGTGACGGTCGGTTGATCGCCGTGGCAGGCCGTCGGGGTCTAATCCACTATAGCATGGCTTCTGGTCGATGGAAATTATTCGAACAAGCATCACAAGAGCAGAGTTTCCTTGTTAGAGGCGGCCTACTCTGGTTTCATCATGTCTTGATTGTGGCGATTGAGATGGCCAGCAGGACATATCAGGTAAAAATTGATGGAAAAACACCGTTATTTATCTGACATGGATTTACTAGGTGCAACTATACTCACGGGATAATGAGCTGACTCTTCGAGAGATCCTCCATGTAGAGACTTTCGACGCTCCCATTGTGTCACTCTCCCTCGTCGACAATTCTCTTCTGGTTTACACTGAAAATAACGACCTCTATCACTACCTTGTTCTTCCTACTGCCGACAATGTCACATTGCATTGTTGTGGGAGCATTTCATTCGATGGAGTTGTTATAGAGCCGACGCTTGTACGAGGACTTAGCTGGATGGTCCCATCATCTCAGAAGAGTCAGTATGTCACTACTTGAAGGATGTAACACTGAGATGAAATACAGATTTTGGGGATGTAGCGGATGATATGACTACTGCAACCATATTATTATTGGTCGGAGGACAACTAGTCCTATTGATTCCGAGAAGGGTAAAGTATTCAAAGTACTTCATACAACACTAGTGATAATGATCTATTTTCAGGACTTTTCTAAAGATGTCAAGTACGATATGCAAATACTCGCGGATAGGATAGAGTTCTTCTGGATCCATATCAAAGGAATTGGGGCTCTGGAAAACTCGCTTTGGGGATATGACGGCGAGGCGCTCCGCATATGGTTGGATGCTCTCAAGATAGGCGCAATTCCTGTCAACAATCGTGGTCCCGGGCCTGTTATCGAACATGTCAGACTACCTCTCGATTTTTACCCCTTATGTGAGTTGTGTTCATATGTTAGCTCGGGAGACTTATCACTATTTAGCTGTTCTCATGGACAAGGGTATCATCATCGGAGCCGAAGGGGAATCGGTTCTTCGATCGACGATGCCCTTTGCGCTTTTTCGATGGAACACGAACGTAAGAGGCTTTCCTCATTCAATGCTCTTGTTCATCTTTCCCAGTCACACCTTTTCATGAATCATATTCTTCGATATCATCTCCAAAAGAAGCAAGTCAAAGAAGCTGTCCAATTCGCCTTACAGTATCAAAGCCTAGTCTTTTTCTCTCATTCCCTCGAAGTATTGTTACACATGATCCTAGAAAGTGAAGACGATGTGGAGGAAGAAAAGGCTATTCTTCCAGAGGCCATCACGTTTCTGGACCATTTCGATGAATCCCTAGAGATCGTGGTCAGATGTGCGAGAAAAACGGAGATGTCGCGATGGAAGCGTTTATTTGATGCATCTGGTAGTCCACGTGCTCTCTTTGAGGTATGCAACGAACCTTGGATCATTGCCTTAAACTGAACACCGGTGTCTGGATAGGCGTGTATGCGAGAGGGACGCCTAACGTCAGCAGCCTCGTATCTTCTTGTTTTGCACAACATCCAGCAGTTAGAAGAAACTTCTGAGGATGCCGTGAGGCTGCTCTCTCAAGCCATGGAAAGGAATTCCAGTGATATTGCCAAGGACCTGATGCGGTTCCTGCGATCTATCGATGAGGATGGGACTGTGCTGAAAGATGTATTAAACAAGGTAGGAATAGGCGAATCTGAAAGTGTAGAAGGCTAGCAAACATTTTTATCGTATTTCTGTATCTGTGTCAAAACTTTGCCCCTAATGAATTACCTCGGATCAGCAAAACCGGCGTAAAGATTTTCTGTGTTAGCCCACTTAGGCCTCCCTAGATGTTGGGTCCATATCAGACGAATAGGAGGCATCAACCATCTCTTCCAACACATCTAGAGGATGAGGATAGCAGAAATCATCCACCCGCGGTCCGCCAGTATTCCCAACCACTTCCTGTTGACGGCTATTCAGCACCTCCTGCTCCTAACAGACTACATTCTTATCCACCCGAATCATCGTCTAACCTAGGAGGATTTCAGCCTGGTTTGCCGGGCTCAGCCGTGCGCAATGTACCATATTCAGCACGCCTAACTCGCGAAACGCGCTCTCAAGCTGGACTTGCAGAAGAGCAAATCGAGACAGAAGACGATGAAACAAGCTCCGGTGATGAAGAAGAACAGGAATGTGACTTTATTGAAGAGGAAGTGCTAACCCAGTCGGCTGCAGAGCAGCTAGAACGCTTGGAGTGGCAAATAATGCTGCGATCAGTCCTTGATGGAGACGTGATCAACTCCGAAAAGCAAAGAGTTGGAATCGCTGAAATAGAAACAGAACCTATAGATACAGTCGAACGCTTTCGTACGCAAATATCGTCAGAGGAGGCGTGGCTTAGTTACAGAGGAAAGATCAGGAAACGATCACTAGACGAGGAGAAGAAGCGGGTCGAGCATAGAAGATTACGAGTAGGAGAAACCTTACATGAAGATGTCCTTGCCTTCATCTATAATGCCGATTCTGGCGAGAACGCTGTAGATCAGCTCAACTCATATCTTCGCCGATTGGACGCGGTCGAATCCTTTTACCCTACTCTTAAAGCAATGTATCACGACAAACCTCACCTCAAAGATCCCGCATTTACTAAACGGATCTATGCAATGACCGCGTACGCTAATCTTGCGGGCATGACACGGCAACACCTATCCCTGCTGCAAAAATGGACCGGCAGCAAGGAACTAGATGTCATGGCATTAAGCAAGACCAACGAAATAGTCATCCGCCCCCGTCGACCTTATTCCAACGACTACGCTCCAGAGGTGGCCGACGACTCAACTTTCGTGGAGAGGGTCCTAAAGGAGCAATCGCTAGTGCAGATATTCAAGAAGAGAGCACTGGTTGATGCATTGCAAATTGTTGCTCGCGCCAACAAGGTCTATGCCTCATTTTCTGACGAATTCGATGCCATGCGGCTCCCTGCCCTGTGGAACGAATTGCGAGAGCTCCTAACTTTCCCTATAAAGCTTATGCAAGCTTCTCTCCGAGTCCAGCTCGACTATGCTCACAGACTACGAGACATGGATATCCTGCTCATCGATCAGATGATGGAAGACTTCAAGGTATCAATCAACGAAGCATGCTCGAGAAAAGCCGAGTATCGAACACTTCTTTCTGGTGGGAAATATCTCGAAGATTTCATCAGTGACGACTATGACAAAGTGGTGCTTGAAGCTGTCACTACCTTCTTTGGTCTGCTTCATCGCAAGTTGAAGAGTGGTGCAGGCTCTCGAGGTTCTTACTTTCGTGAAACCGAATTCCTTGATAGCCAATGGGGACTTCTTGATAAAGTAGCTTCCGAGATTAGTGGCGGATCCGTATTGGTGGCAGAGCAACTCTGGTGAGCGTTTCAAATATTGATTTCCACCCACCCTAATCATACTTGTAGTATTGTGACACATCGTTTGATTGTCAGAATAACCGACGCCTTTGATCATCAGATCCGTAGGCCGTCCTTACTCGCCTCACCAGTCTCAAGATTCTCGGTTATAACCAACATTTCCAACGATAATGTCTCCAACGAAGAAGTACCAGTAGTGAAGCTTCAAATAGATGGGGAGGAGAATAAAAGCAATGTAGTCACTGCTTACATTCACATGTTGGAGGAGGCTAGGGTACGCCACCGAAAGCTACGTCGGTTCGCTCGGTATGTAATGCTACACGAGGTAAAAAGGAGAACTCATTTTCGTTTAGTGCCCTTTCAAACCGCTTCAGTAACTCCTGCGAGTATAACATGGCGGAGCTCAATGTCGCTCTCTTTATAAATCGATTGGTGGAGACCGGTCACCAACTTGTATTCGCCGAGAACTATCAGAAAACGGGCACTTTCATCATCGCTGAAGGCCGTCTTGCCGAACGCAAAGATCAAATTGCAAATTTCTTCAAGAGTGCTTTCCAAGTAGTGGCAGATCACCCAACAGCAAACGGTGGTTCCCAAGACAAAGGATCATCGCTTCCACCCGCCAATGGAAGTTCGGCCAAAGGTCAATCTGACGCTGATCTCGATGGAGTCAATAGTCTCAGTGGTGCAGAAGATGATTCTTCTACATATGAACCAGAAGAGATCTCAAAAGTTGACGACAGCAAAAAGATTGATGAAAGTCAAGACAAGTCACCAAAGGAGCCCGAAAAAGTCTCTCCTTACCTCATCGTCTTCAGGCCCAAGACTCCAATGTTTTGGCACGGTCGTGTCCTATTGGGCATTGATATCCCAACTCTTGACCTTGGTATAACAGACAAGAGACTACTATTGATATCAGAAGGTGGTCAATCCCGCTTAGCCATTGCCAAGTCGCGCTTTGCTGGCCATTTCATTTACGAGGACGAGTCTCGTGCATACTCTGCAGTCGAAGAAGGAGATGTAGAACTCGCCCTTGTGGCTTACGCATCGCCAGTTGGTACTCTTCCTGTTCAAACCGATCAGCGTTCGCATCTTCCAGCGATTAACAAGGAACTTCTGCGAGTAACACGTGCAACGAACCGACTAGCGTTCAAGATCGTTGAATCGATCCACCCGGTCCGTAAGGCCCTTATCGGCGTACCAGGTTATCAAGACCTTCTGCAAAATTGGTTCTTGTTTGCCGCTGAGCACGCACACCAACAATCCCCTGGAGCTGAGTTCAGTAGAGCTCTAACAAATCTCGCAATATCA